TTTGGTGCAGTTATTTTTGCATACATATTTTTACAAAAAATATAGACAGACACAAAAATTTAAAAAATTATCGTTTTGGCTTCTAATTCTCTTATTAAGAACTCTCATGTCATTTTTTCTCAATTATTTCCCGTGCACAAACTTTTTTTTTATGCAGTATAGAATGGTAAACAAGCTGACGGCCCACCTGATGGAAAGTGGTAACCGTCGCCTATAGACATGAGCAGTACCATGGACATAACAGAGTATACTGTTTCGCCCACGATTACCCCCTATACGTTGCCATTCCTGAGGACTCAGGTGTTACTCCTGTGTACTCTGTAAATTCACTGCCATATCCCACCCTTTAAACCGAAACACAGCCATGCAAACACAACTGCTTCACGACAGAAACACGAATGGGACAGAGGTGGCCAAGCAAACGACTTTTGTACAACGTCTCCCTCTGGTGCGTCATCTAGTTATAACATTATTGGCCTACTGCGGTAAATTATAAACGTGTCCATTAGCTGTCAACTATTTGTGACACAGCCGTGTCTCGTTTGACACATAAACTTATCAATGGACATGTTACAATTCAAAAGAGAAACCGCAGCCCCCAATTTCTTAAATACATTTCAAATTACAATGTTAAAAATTGTGTTCAATTAAATGCACGCCCGAAATTGGTACTTAGTAATCAAAGAGCTTTAATTTCTGAACACTTTCCCGCCGAGTACGCGTGTGTAAAAAAACCCTATTCTGATCTTAATCACGCGAATTGATTTCGAAATTGCTTTTTATTTGTGTTAGTGAGTGATGACTTGCCACTCTCGTCTTGTTATTTCTCTTTTTTTTTTTAATTTTAATTTACCACCGAAAGGATGTTGTCGAATCGACTGCTTTTTTTTTTTTTTATATATTAAATCCAATATCGGTCGAGTCTAAGACGCTATTTCTCTAAACTCATCCGTAGAATTAGATTTTAAATTTAATATTACAGCGACACCTGTAAGGACCGATGTCAACTAAATTTCTCATATATTTGATTATATTTTGTTTTGATAGATTTATTTTACAAATTGACTATTAACCTATTTTTTTTTGATGGGTGAAATGGTATGGTAACCCCGCCTGCGTTAACGGGATACGCTGGCGGAGCACCAGTGAAGGGTGATAGATGAGAATGAAAACAGGCCAGTTAGCCCATCATGATGAATTCATCAGAAATTAACCATGATAGTTTTCAGGGAGGAGATCGACCTGGTTGGGTATATTGCTAGCAATGGGATTCTCAGTCTCCATTACTAACAATCCCTTTCCCCTCACTATTAACCTATTGACATTATTATATTAACTAGCGGTCGCCCAGTGGTCGAAATTCGACCATAACATATATAGTAATGAATGAATGTATCACGGTCACGTTCGACATTCAGTGAGACTATGGACAAGTAATGTTAAAGGCAAACAATATTAATCTATTCTCAATTCGACCGCAGACTTTAACTATAAACAAAAGAGTACAATATGAGTGTGTGTGTCAAATACATGGTAGTGTGTGTAATGTTTTTTGTTTATAGATTTAATGTATTTTTTACGCATAATAAAAAAAAAATATCATTCTGCACTCCCTCTCTATATAAATAATTAGTGCGCGAAATTTCTTCTCAGCAGATGACAACATCCTGAACTTAGCAGTATAATCATAAAAAATTTACGATTTAAAAGAGTTTTTTTTATGCAACTTGAAAAGGTTAACAATCTGACGGCCCACCTGATGTAGTCTAATTTCAGGCTGCAGCTGAAAATCAGTGCTTCGCTTTTAAGCAAATCCATCACTGAGCTGTAGCCTATTTGGCTCACTGCGACACACATGGCGAAACCATTTTTTATTTTTTGTTGTATATTTTAAAAAGTGTAAATAACTTAATTGTATAAACTCTTTTGTAAATTTACGTGTGTCATAAATGGCTCAAATAAAAAGTTTATCTATCTATCTGTCTATCTGATGAAAAGTGGTGACCGTCGCCTATAGACATGAGCAGTACCATGCACATAACAGAGTATACTGTTTCGCCCATAATACCCCCCATGCGTTGCCGTTCCTGAGGACTCAGGTGTTATTCCTCTGTACCCTGTAGATTCACTGTCATATCCCACCCTTCAAACCGAAACACAGCCATGCAAACACAACTGCTTAACGGTAGAAACACGGATGGGACAGAGGTGCCTACGCAAACGACTTGAAAACAAAAATGCTTGTAAACAAATATATTCAATTAAATAAAGATTATTTCTATTCTATTTATATTTAAATTATTATAAATTTAACATATAATAATCCGTAAAATAATATCTTATGAAAACTAAAAAAATTTATATTATTTTTAAAGGTAGGTGTAAAAAATGACGCCTCAAAATCGGCCCAATGCATGCAATGAATCTGGTACACTGAGGTGGCGTTATAGCTTTTTTTTTTTGCAATTATCCAGTTAGTCACGCTTTACATTTTGTGACCATATTATACGATCACGTCGCCAATTCTGTACCAATTTTCATAACTCTTTTTCCAATAGACAGAGTTTACTCCCGTTTTGGTTTTTTTTTTTTTCATTTAAAAGTTTCCTTTTGTCGATGCAACTAATTCATGCATCATATTCCAGCCAGCTTTTTTTTTTATACAACTTTGAATGGCAAACAAGCTGATGGCCCACCTGATGGAAAGTGGTAACCGTTGCCTATAGACATGAGCAGTACCATGGACATAAGAGAGTATATTGTTTCGCCCATGATACTGCCCATGCGTTGCCATTCCTGAGGACTCATATGTTATTCCTTTGTACCCTGTAAATTCACGCCATATCCCACCCTTCAAACCGAAACACAGTCATGCAAACACAACTGCTTCACGGTAGAAACTCGAATGAGACAGAGGTACCCAAGCAATCGACTTTTGTACAAAATCTCCCTCTGGTAGAGCCCCCCACTTTGCACCCCACTTGCTTGTAAGAACTAAAAAATGTACCTTAAGAACGTTTATTATTTTTTGAAGTTGGTTAAAAATATATTATACGTATACAGCGATTATTTATTTATTTAAAGCACAAAATACATTGTACAGGATGGCTATTATAAAACATTATTCAATTAGTTCACTATTACGTCAATAGATGGCGGTAGTTTAAATTTCAAGCATGCTATAGTTGTTGCCTAGGATTGGAAGTTATTCAATTTCCACTTTTCAATAATCGTCCTATTTCTTACTCGAGAAACGAGATTTATCTTGACAGGGCATCGATCGGCCAATAGTCCGGTCAATGCCTACAAAAATAACAATCGAAATTAATCATGGGCAAGTGAAAAAAAATCGATATATGTGTCGATATTTTTCGAAGCTATCGATATATAACGTGTACAAATATCGATATTTTAATATATCGAAATATTTGTACACTGTCAAAGTATTAGTGTTTCGTAAATTAAATACGAATTGGTAGTCATGTAGTTTTATTAATACAAACAATGATCAGGAGTTTAGTCAAACCAATAGTTGTCAGATATCGACATGAGAAGCACTCTCTGTTTTATGTGCTCCCCTGTCAATCTGCTCTTATTATCTGGCACTGCCAAATTAATAGCAGACGCGAGCCTTTTTGACGACACGGAAAATGCTTGGTATATTAAGTATTTTAAAGCGATTTCAGAAATAACCGGCATGAAATGTCGACAACTCACCCAAAATTTTATTGGATCTAGTAGTGGTTGGTCCAGATATTGCTTAAGCTCATTGGGGACAGAGCCAGCGCTTGGAACCTTGGAATATATATATATATATATATATATATATATATATATATATATACATTTAAAAGTTTCACATGTTTTGCTACCTAACCTAACCTACTGTTGTCATTGTCATACGTCCATAAAACACTCCAAAAAACTTTTTTTATTTATGTTTTTTTTTATTCATGAAAAATCATAAAAAAAATATCGAACTTGATATCCGGGAAAAAATATAGATTATCGATATATCAAGATTTAAAATATCGACGATAATAATCAATATTTTTTTTTAATAATATCGATATTTTGATATATCGATATTTTATTAACCAAGCCTAATCGAAATCAGTAATTTTCGAAATTCAGGCAAAATCACTTCAAACTTAATGTGTACATTGTGTAATTGAAAATTTTCAAACCATGTAACGTCACGCGTACCTAATACCTTCATAAAGTTTCAGCCAATTCAACTGATCGGTTATTTTATAGCATTTTATATGTGACTCTTTAGATTGATATAACTTTTTTATTTATGAACCGATTGAAATAAAACAAACGCTAAATGTTAAATAGAGCAATCCGCAACGCATTAGAGAAAACCGTATTCAAATCGATTTAGCCGTTTCTGAGATAAGCGTGCACAAACGTAGAGACAAACAAAAATTCTAAAAATCATTGTTTCGGGTTCTGTTCCGTTCATAAAGCCCTCCTAGTAGTTTTTCTTATATATCTTCCATGTACAGACAGCGAGCAGTTACGATTTTATTATATATATTGATTGATTAATACATGTATACATGGCTTAGGAACGTGCAAACTTCTAAAACCGGTTTTAAATGTAAATAAACAAATATTTTTTTTATACAACTTAGAATGGCAAACAAGCTGACGGCCCACCTGATGGACGCCTGTCGCCTATAGACATGAGCAGTACCACGGACATAACAGAGTACACTGTTTCGCCCATGATACCCCCCATGCGTTGCCATTCCCGAGGACTCAGGTTTTATTCCTCTGTACCCAGTAAATTCACGCCATATCCCACCCTTCAAAGCGAAACACAACCATGCAAACACAACTGTTTCACGGTAGAAACACGAATGGGACAGAGGTGCCCAAGCAAACGACGTTTGTACAAAGTGAATATAAAATAAGAATAATAATATTTGAAAGATATAATAAATGTAGATAAATTAATGTTTTAGTAAATCTATTGCTTTTTTTATTTTCAGGTGGCTTCATACTTCACAGCATGGAGAGTGAAGGACCATGGTCAAAACGAATACTCCTTTGTACCGCACCATGAACACTTCGAACACCATGGTATGTGTTTACTTCTTTTTATGTAACACTCTTAAGAATCATGCATACGGCTCGACTGATGGCAAGTACAGTCCACGATTACCAGTAACACCGTCGCGGCAGTCGTGTCCCCATCGTGTACCACTCTCCATAACGGAAAGAGTCGCGCGAGCGGGCTGCTGACCGCGACCACATGGGGACATGTGTACCCATGCGTCTCTATTTGGTTATTTATCATTTTCCAATATTCTGTTTTTAATAATTTATTTAAATGCACAGTAAAATTCTTTGCGCATATGGCGGACTTAACACCGGACGGTGTTCTCTACCAGTCGACCATTGGGCGAACAGAGAAATAAGTAGGCGGTGCATTATTGAATAGAGGAAATACAAAGTGATACTTGATATATTAATATATATATATATATATATATATATATATATATATATATATATATATATATATATATATATATATATATATATATATATATATCTTATATATAAAATTCTCGTGTCACGGTATTTGTTACCAAACTCCTTCGAAACGGCTTTACCGATTTTTATGAAATTTTGTGCGCATATTGGGTAGATCTGAGAATCGGCCATCATTTTTTATACCCCTCAATGATATATATATATATATATATATATATATATATATTTACCATTAAGAGACACAATAGCACATATCGTCATAGTCGTAGAATACTGACGGATCTGACGAATATATGGTATACATATACTAGCTGACCCCGTAAACGTTGTTTTACCACTTATTGCGAAATATAAAAATCGCGATTAAAATACAAGGGTTGATCGTAAAACGATGAAAATTTAAAATTGTATGTATTTTTCAATGCTAAATCATAATAAAATAAAAATGGAAAAATTTGTTAAAAAAAATTAAAATACAATTTTTTGTGGAGGGTCATCCTTATCATTGAGGGGTATGAAAAATAGACGTTGGCCGATTCTCAGACCTACCCAATATGCACACAAAATTTCATAAAAATCGGTAAAGCCGTTTCGAAGGAGTTTGGTAACAAACACCGTGACACGAGAATTCTATATATAAGATATATATATATATATATATATATCTGTCAGTATTCTACGACTATGACGATATGTCTATAACATTTTGAACCGACTTCCAAAAAAAGCAAGTTCACAATATAGTGTTGTATTTTTTTATTCTATATTTGTTACCTCACAACCTCGTCAGTTGTGAACCGATTTGAAAAATTCTTTTTTTTTTTATCTGAAAGGATATACTTAGAGATACGGTCTCATGGAAATTTTATCAAAATCGGTTCAGTAATTTAATTCAGATATCAAAAGTTTCAAAAAAGTAGATTTTTTAACACTATCTTGATTTATTATCATAATCACCATATCAGCCTTTAACTGTCCACTGCTGGACATAAGCCTCCCCCTTAGGGGGTTTACCAGTAGTTGCCACGCTTGGCAAGTGGGTCAGCAATTGCAGTTAGGCTTTAGACATGTTTTAAGAGGGACGCTGCTGCCCATCCTTCGCCCTCGATTCTATGCTGGGACCATACGGCCGTTTCTTTCACAATAATGGTAATTCCCATCTTTTATAAACCATAAACTATGCAACACAAAAGTCTAAATCTCTTATTTGGGGGGCAAAGGGATTGTTAGTAATGAGATCTTACAGCACCATTGCTAGCAATATACCCTCTCAGGTGGACCTCCACGCGGTTCCTCCTGGAAACCGGCATGGTTAATTCTTGTCGAAATCATCATGGTGGGCTAACTTACCTACATTTATTCTAACCTATCATCCCTCACTGGTGACTCGCCGGTATACCGATAGCGCGGGCGGGGTTATCATTACATTTTCCCCCATTAAAAAAAACGTCTTATTCATAAATAGGTCAAAGCTTCCATAAAACTATTTTAGCTATTGTACTGTTTTGTTTCTTTCTTTCGCTCTAAATTCTCAGTTTTTTTTTATGCAACTTAGAATGGCAGGCAAGCTAATGGTCCACATGATGGAAACTGGTAACTGTCGCCTGTAAACATGAGCAATACCCTAGACATAACAGAGTATACTGTTTCGCCCATGATACCCCCATGCGTTGCCATTCCTGAGGACTCAGGTGTTATTCCTCTGTACCATGTAAATTCACGCTTCAAACCGAAACACAGCCATGCAAACACAACTGCTTCACGGTTGAAACATGAATAGGACAGAGGTACCTAAGCAATCGACTTTTGTACAAAGACTCCCTCTGATAAATGGTGCAGTGTTTAGTTAGTTTAGTAGCGGTAGAACGCTTCCATCGAAGGATGCCAATACTGGTTTAAATTCCCTGTATCATCATACCAGCCTTTAACTGTCCACTGCTGAACATAAGCCTCCCCCTTAAGGGGGGTTTGCCAGTAATTGCCACGCTTGGCAGGCGCTTTAGCAATTGCAGTTAAGCTTTAGAGATGTTTTAAGAAAGACGCTGCTGCCCATTCCTGGTCCTCCCGGAGTCGCCTCTTACGACACCCACGGGAAAGAAAGGGGTGGTCCATTCTATGCCGGGACCACACGGCCAATTTTCTATATAAATAAGTCTTATTCTAAAAAGTTTTAATTAGCTCTAAAAAAATTTTTAATTACAAATAGTACATTACTGCAGCGGCCAGCAACTGAGGCATTGATGGACGAACGTGCTAATGTGGGCCCAGTTCGAAATTTAAATAAAATATTTTATTAGTTACCCCCTTGGTAGCCATGTTTCGAAGTAAAAGGTCATTCCATTTTTAAATTACAGGACAGATATGAGTTTACATAGTAATTTATCTGGCCGCAAAACACGACAGATATGGATTTTCATACAACTTTTGCCGGCCGCTGCCCGCGTGTATATGGCCAGTACGGCAATTTTGATTTATCTCGAAGAAGATTGTCAAAATAATGCTCACATTTCCAAGCATGTTTGAGAGAAAGTTATTATACTCGTACACTGCAGGAATTTTTCAATGAGAAAATTTAATTGTATTTGTAGCTATTTGTTTCGATGTAATAATGTTTTATTCATTATATGTTAACCGACGATACATATATATAATATAAAAATTTAGTTATGTACTTCATGAAATATTTAATAATGTGATGGCTGCGCCCTTCCAGGGTTCGTGTTGATTCTTTACCTTTAATAGCTTAAGACATATATTGTTACAACATGAAATAGCAATAAATGATTTAATTGAATGGAATAAATAAATAAATAATGGTCTTATTACCTTTACAAAATCTTTCTTGAAATCTTCTTTAGAAGAATTTTGCCCGAACGTGATGGCACTAACTGTAATGCTTCTAGAAGATTCAAAGAAGAGTTTTCTTCTCTAATCAAACTCCATCTGTGATATTTGTTTGTTGCAGGTCATCACAGAAGTTTAAGAGATTTAGGTAAGACCGGATTTTATTTATTTATTTATTTATTTATTTTACATTCTTATTGCAAAAAACTAATAAAAAGCATTATTGTTATTTTTTTTTATAAATAAAAAATTTAATACCAGAAATGTATAGAAAGAGAGAGTTATGCTTTATAACTACATTACCTATTAATTCATCTTCTGCCTTGACTTTCCCCGTTACTTAATATCAGCTTTTCTAATTACGCTTAGCCATCTTAACTTTTGCATATTTTTTACATGTATTAAAATAAATGCGCTTATAAGAATCAATTAAAACTAACTTTTATTTATTTATTTATTTAGAAAAGGTAAAGCTAGACTTGTTAAGAACATTACTTGCCAGAGGGAGCCTTTGTACAGTAGTCGTTTGCGAAATGACAGGCACGAATGAGACAGAGATCCTCAAGGACCTCTGTCTCATTCGTGTTTCAACCGTGAAGCAGTTGTGTTTGCATGGCTGTGTTTCGGTTTGAAGGGTGGGATGTGGCGTGAATTTACTGGGTACAGAGGAATAACACCTGAGTCCTCAGGAATAGCAACGCATGGGGGGTATCATGGGCGAAACAGCATACTCTGTTATGTCCATGGTGCTGCTCATGTCTATAGGCGACGGTTACCACTTGCCATCAGGTGGGCCGTCAGCTTGTATGCTATTCAAAGTTGCATGAAAAAAAAAATAAAAAAAAAACAGTATCCTATGAATAATTAAAGATTGTATTCAACAAAAACACCAACATCAATTGTGTTTACTAAACCGATTTTGATAAGATTTCTATTGAATCAATCTGTAAGTACATCAGTCTCCACAATACATACAATGAGTATTCTTAAGTTAGTTTATTAGTTTTAGTTAATTTTTAATTAGTTTATTAATAGTAGTTTAGTTTATTCATATAGTATCGTGGAGAATGAATAAACATTTGGAATTTGGAAAAAAAAATTCCGATAAAAAAAATAGTTTTCCAAATCGATTTTTTTTTATTTTATTTTATTGGCACATAAAACAGATTACAACCATAAAAAACTTAAGTAATAATTACATTTGTGATTCGGCTAGGTTATAATTAGAGAATACGATCCCGACTGGTTTTTTTAATCCCGGGATTTCGGGATTACTGAAAGATAATACCGGGATCCCGGGATCGATCCCGGGATCAATTTAGGAATTCAGAAACAATAAAAAGTCAGTAAATTATTTTCAATCATTCTATTTTTATTTTGGTAATAGGTAATAGTTTCATTTTAAAGCTATATTAAACAAAATTATGTTTCTAATTTCGTTAAAGACTAATATTTGCAGTTTACTAATTGTAATACATATTTACTAAAAATTAAACTTAGAGAAAATCAACTTTGTTAGACTCAGAGAAACCTAGAAAAATAATTAACAATACGTATTTTGTTTTATTCTAGAGAGATCAGTAATCACGTTTTATATTTAAAATAGACTACTTATGTATTGCAAAAATAAAATCTTAAAAATAATAACGCGTCCAACGTTTCATCTCCAAGCCTGCTTCTGAGTTTGTTGGACATATATGCAGAAGCTGAGAAAGCTCGTTCGATTGAAGTTGGAGGAATTGTCAATAAATATTTAGGTATAGGCTTGTTCCAAATTGTAGCCTCGAATGAAACTTGCCTCAAGTAGATTCATTTCTTTCTTAATAATTTTAAAAATGTCGTTACCCTGTTTTCCGACTACGAAATGACTCCACACAAACCATCTTTTTTGTGTCTGATAGAAAAACTTTCTTTAGACAGCAATATTTTAGTAGCCTTAAATTAAGACCCTCAATAACAAAGAGGATTCAAGAAATTAAATAATATTAGACTGTATGGATTTTAGTCCCCTACCCTACGCCTTTCACTATGGAATAAATTTAATAAGAACAACATAACCTAGGAAATGAATATTTGTTGTTTTTAACTTGTTTTCATTAAATTACTCTTTATTCTTTCATAATACAACATTGTTTCTCTAATTATCACCATAATAATATAGTTTAATAATACTTACATACACAACGCCGTGAAGACGAACTTTTGTACACATTCACACACAACGCCGTTGCAAAGTAATTGAATCAATCAGCTGTTTATCCAAGATGACCAATAAATATCAAATAGACAATAAATGCATTTTGTTTCACGCAAAAAAAACTAAATAATATTAATTCGTAAAAATTTCTGTTAATCCTGAAAATCCCGGGATTTGTTACATAAAATCCCGAGATTTTCGGGACCAAAATTTCGACCGGGATCCCGGGATCCCGGTTTCGAGATCCCGGGATCGAATCCTCTAGTTATAATCCAATCACATTATGTGCACAGCTTGAGTAATTCATGAAAAGCAAACACGTGAAATAATAAAAATACATAAAATGTTATATAATAAAGTCATTTGTATTTGTATTTATTTGTATTTGTAAATATATAAAAGATTCACAACTTATGGAGTTATGAGGTAACACACATAAGAAAAAAAAAAGCAAAAAATACAACCGAACTGAGAACGTTCTTCTCTTTAAAACCAATTAAAAACCCTATATCTTTTGTTTTATTACAATTATCTTATCAAACATGCTTCCTATTACCTACTAATATAATAAAATTATAACAAAACGATGTCTGTACATGGGAGATGTTTAATAACACATGAGGGCTCTTGACAAGATCAATAGATAATAACTTTTAGAAATTTTGTCTGTTTGTTTGTTTGTCAGTATGTTACGAAAACTACAGCAAAATTGTCAATAACAATGCTCAGATGTTAATAATTAAAAAAATATAAAAAAAATTAAAGAAAAGAAATTTTAAGAAATTTCTATATATATATATTAAATATTGTATACTGTTTTTTCACCAGAACTAAATGTGTACACAAAAATTTTTAATAAAATCGATTACAAAATATAATGTGGTTTTTCCAAGAGATTACAGCATGGGGTTCTTCAAAAAAAAGGACAATAAAGTTTCATCAGGGTCGGCAACGTATTCGTAATGCTCCTTGTACTGCAGGCGTTCATAGGTTACGGTAATCGCTTACCATCAGGTGGGCCGTATGCTTGTTTGACACCTCAGTTGTATAAAAAAAATCTAATTCTGCTTGCAAGATTTAATCTAAACAAACATTACAAGTTGAAGCTTGTAAAAACAGATTATTTTTAATTTCACCTTTTTTCCAGAAGTCCACCACCCAGTTTACCAAGGGCAGTCCTCGTACAGTCCCAGCTGGAACCCAGTCGACGGGTACGACTCGGGATCTAGCTACAAAACAATCCCCTTCCAAGGACCCTACAGTGAACAGGAGTACGCTGGCACCAAAAAATCGCTTGACAACACGTACGGTTAAATTAATCTAATATATATATATATTAACGACTGAATTATTGTACTTTGTAAATAAATTATTACTATAAATTAGTATAAATTAGTATTACTAAATTTATTAGTATTAAATTATTAATTAGTAATAGTAGTGTACTACACGTAATTAGTATTATAAACTAGCTATCCGACCCGGGTTCGCACGAGTAGACAAAATCTTCAAAAATCAATACATATAATAAAAAAAAAAGTTTCAACCAATACAACTGATCGGTTATTTTATAGCATTTTATATGTGACTCTTTAGATTGATATAACTTTTTTATTTATGAACCGATTGTAATAAAACAAACACTAAATGTTAAGTGGAAAAAACTGCAACGCATTCAAATCGGTTAAGTCTTTTATTGGCGTGCACAAACGTACAAACCGACAAAAATTCTAAAAATCATTGTTTTGTGTTCTATTGCATTCATAATGCCCCTTATAATAGTTTTCCTTATATATCTTCCATGTACACCGACCAGTTACGATTTTATTATATGTATTAATTATATTATTATGGAACGTATCTGCATTTTTTATCCAATATCTATATACATATGTGACGAGAAATTAATGAAGTCACTGTGTTTTTGTCATTTCCGACAATCATTTCGACTTTATCCGGAAATCTTCAAGGCGCATATAGCGCTTTACGTCACAATATCTCGCCTTACAATTCACTCGTACGTCAATTTTTTTATATGAAGTCGAAACAACTGTCGGAAACGACAAAAACACAGTGACTCCATTAATTTCCCGTCACATATGTACATTATTAATTAGTAATTAATTAATTAATTATTACTAAACATATAAAAATGTAATTGTAAATAATGTCACAAATGACAACATTTCACAATAAGCACCACATGTTTTAATTAATTGAATTAACTTGTATCAAATATATATTTATTTATATATTTTTCTGATTGTAAATCGTGTAAGTATATTATGGATTTCTATATTCCTCTATAGTAAATATCCATGTTTAAATAGTTATTACAAATTTCCAAATATAAACAATTTAAAACAAAAACTATTTTATGCTATATTATATTTATTTAATTAAAAATATTTAAATAAATTTTATATGTTCTTAATTAGATTGTGAACTAATTAAAATAACTTGTATACTTAGTAATACTAACTAACTGCACATGTAAATAATGTTAATGTAGATTCCGTTGTAGTTTTACTAATTAAATATTAATTTTAAATTACATTTATTACAAAAACAATGAAAATAATTTAATAAGAAAATAGTATTATGTAAATTAATTAAAAATTAGTGTAATCGAATTAGAATTAGTTTTCTTTCTTATAAATATCTATTTTAGGTTTATATTATTATTTTTCAGGTTAGACGAAGAAAAACCGTGTCCGAAGGATTGACGTATTTACATCATTTATTAACAATTAGCAAGATTAAATAGTTAAAACCATTATGTACCTACTACATTACACTTACAAAGTTTATTATAATAATTTTAGTACTCGAATGAAGAAAACATATTTTACGTGGGACCAGAGATGGTGAAACTGGATCGCGTTGGTAAATTCATAATAAATCCAAAAAAGATCAGAAAAACAGACTAGACTAATCTAGAAATATATCGGGATTTTAAGAATTTGTTTCTGCAAAGGCTCAATTTCTATGGTGGCAGTATTTATTATTTATATATTTCTATACATATGTATATAACTTTGTTAATGATAACAATAGCTAAATTATCTAAGTAATTTAATTACAAATAAATAAATCCACTGCTGGACATAGACCTCCTTAATAAAGGTGTTGCCAATAGCTACCACGCTTGGTAGGCGGGTTGGCAACCGCAGTTAGACTGACGATGTTTAAACAGGAACGTTGATGGCTATGCCATCACCATTAAATCCCTTTAGTCCCCTCTTACGGCACCCATGAGACAAAAGTGGATAGCTCATTCTATTCCACATGTCAAAAAATAAATTAAAATATTGTTTATTCAAACAAACTTGATCATAAGCATTGTTGAAAAGACACTGTTTTTATTAATGTACCGCCCAGTTCGGAATGCAATTTCAACTGAGGAAAACGAGCAAAAATCATAGCTTTTTTTAACAAATAATGGCTATCAAAAATTTCATATAGATAAAAACTACAATCGATCTCAGTATTCGTATATTACCCAACGCCTACTAGCCCCAAATTAATAAAAATATATACTATATGTACTAAATATTGATATATACCAGGGGTAGCCAACTTGACCAGACCCAAGATCTGCTGACGAAACCCAGTGCGAAATAGTGAATTTGCTGGGTACAGAGGAATAACATCTGAGTCCTCAGGAATGGCAACGCATGGGGGGTATCATGGGCGAAACAGTATACTCTGTTATGTCCATGGTACCGCTCATGTCTATAGGCGACGGTTACCACTTTCCATCAGGTGGGCCGTCAGCTTGTTTGCCATTCTAAGTTGTATAAAAAAAAACAATTACATACTTCTTGAAATCAGAAATAAAACAACATAGTTCAGTACACAATTATGTAGTTTTCATTGTTATTTCACCCGTTAACTGTCCACTGCTGGACATAAGACTTCCCCATAAGATGAGTTTTGCCAGTAGTTGCCACGCTTGCAAGCGGGTTGGCAACCGCAGTTAGGCTTTTAGAGATGTTTCAAGAGGGACGCTGCTTCCCATCCTTCGCCCTCCCTTAGTTAAAAGGAAGGAGTGGTCTATTTATGCCAGTACCATACGGCGATTATGTAGTATTGTAGTATTTTTTTTTATTTTATTAAAAGGGAAAACATGAAACTGAAACTAATTCTCAGTAACTGCTTATTTATATTTGTGCGAGCATTGCGTGCGCGCATCTTCCGCCGGATTAGCAATATATTATATTGTTTGTTTTACCACTATCGACTGGACTAATAGTCGCGATCGACTGGTCGTCCTCTCCTGGTATATACTATAGTATATAAAACATATATTGAAACGTGATCTGGTTTCACAAAAGATAATACGTAAAACCAAAATGTATAGACAAAGAAAACCCACCGTTGTAAAGTTGACCATCAGCGCCATCTAGCAACAGCCATGATGTACAAATTTTAGAAACAAAATCAACAGGAACTATGTCTATATACAAATACTCAGTTAATTTATATCTAAAATTTAAAATCATGGCTGTTACCATATAATAACCATGTAGAACACGTTAAAATATCGAAACACTCGCTACATTCTAATAAAACGGTGTTTTAATTAACATACATACATAAATATCTGTCACACCTGTCTTCCATTAAGGTAGGCAGAAACAATGGAACGCCAAATGCTTCGATTTAAACCTCTTTCGCTTCCTCCACATTCATCAATCTTTTCATACACGCTCGCCGGTTATGGGTACTTTTAATTTGGCCCTTCTTGAACACGTCGCCTGTTTGGTCGACATACGTCCGTCTAGGGCGGCCCCTACCGACATCTCCATTCATACATACATACAAATAAATTACAAACACATTTATGTATTATTCATTCATACATACATATTCCAGGTATGTACAGTTGGCTTGAATATGTGCATGTGCATTTCATTATACATAGATATAATTTGATGCTGACAACTTCTTTCATCTTCTAGAAGAATACAAGCAATAAATTCCGGTGACTGTACAATCTTTTGAGCCGACTGTACATGTACCGATTTACTATAGACTAATAGACATTCTTACATAATATTAAGTAAATTTTAATTTAGTTTTATATTACTTATTGTAATAATTCATTTAAGAAAACTAATTAAATATTTACATAAATTCATTTTTATTAACTCAATAAAAATAAATTAAGCCATTCATTTGTAGTAACTATTAAAAAGTTAATTATTTTAGATTAATTATATAAATTAAGAAATAAAACTGCATTTATTAGTTTTTGTAATGTAATTTATTTCTTTATTTTTTAATAAAATTTGTGAACGTACAAAAATTGTTTTATTTTCTCTATTATTGTACAAATATTCTGTACAAATTGTAAAAGGAACACCAACAACACTTATTTTGATAACATTAATATTCGTAGAAAAAAAAAAATAGTGTATATAAAAATTTTGAGATTTCAATATTTGAGCACAATATTGGTATACATACAACAATTATAACTATACAAAATTTATTTAACAATTGTATAGAAATTTACAAAGTATAAAAATCACAATTATATACATATACTAAAAAAAAAATGTGTTATTAAAAATATGAGATTGCTATGTACATTTAAAAATATTAATTTTCTATACTAAACGAAAATAGAAAACACGTAAAATGGAACGTCGAAATTGTATACAAGTATACAATTAATGAGTAAAAGTGAACACATTTATAAACAAAAAAAAAAAGAAAAACAATAAAAATGAAACGTCAGAACTAGGTAAATACATATATTTACTAAAAAAAAAATACATTATCGAGACTTAACGCGACGAACAAATACGTAGATAAAAAATAAAAAAAATCATATTTTTTTTCTATTTTTTTTTAAAAACAAGAATAAAAAATTGAAAGACACGTCGACAATAAAGAAGCAGGCATGTACATAAATACTGTTTACCTGTAAAATTTTCATCGCGTTAACTCCCCAATAGTGTATTTAAAATATGTGTAAACAATACGATTGTTTATTTAAACTAGATAAATATGTTTTTTCGAAAATTTCACCGAGTTACCAACACAGAGCTTTCGACTTTCATCTTGTATATACCTTATCACAGACAATAAGTAGATTTAATCAGAATTGAGATGTCTATCCCATCCCATAAGCCGTTAACAGCCTACTGCTGGGCACAACTCTCCTCTAAGAGGGGATTTGCTAGTACTTGCCACGTTCGGCAAGCAAATGAGATTTCAATATTTGAGCACAATATTTAGGAGTGTATACTTATTTATATACTAGCTATATAACCCGGCTTCGCACGAGTAGACGGATTTTTCAAAACTCATTACATATAATAAAAAAAAAGTTACAGCCAATTTAACTGAGCGGTTATTTTATAGCATATACATGATTTATATAATTTCTTTACTTGAATAATGAACCGTTTGAAATGAAACAAACACTAAATGTTAAGTGGAGCAAACCGCAACGCATTAGTAGAAACAACGCATTTAAATCGCTTAAGACATTTCTGAGATTAGCATGCACAAACGTACAGACAAACAAAGATTCTAAAAATAATTGTTTTAGGTTCTATTGCGTTCATAAAGCCCCCCCCCCCCCTCATAAAAAAGTTTTTCTTATACATCTTCCATGTACAGACAGCGATCTGTTACGATTTTATTATATGTATTGATATTAAAAAAAATGTATAAATGTATAATACACATATATGTATATATATTAAAAAAAAAAATGAACAGAGCTTCGTGCCTCCAGTCAAACTGTTTATAATTACTCCTCTCCATCCAAAGGTTGGCTGGAAGAGATCGCTCTTAGCGATAAGGTCGCCCATTGTTTTCTCACTGTGATTATTTCTTGTAATTGTTTATATATATAATAAGTTTACTATTGTAATCTTTTGGAGGAAACAATAAAGAGTATCTATCTATCCTGAGATAGGTAATTCTTTAAACCAAACAATTCAAGTTGGGCACCCCCCCCCCCCCCCAACTTATTACTAGGTACCTAACTTAAATAAGTAAATTAAAGCTATAATTTGTGATGTCGATAATAAATTTATCATTATTTGTATATAATATATGAAAAATTCATAATTAAAAATTAAATCCCGCAAAAAATAACTTTATTTATTATTTTGATTTAAAAACTAAACTACGGAACCAATTTTTATAAAATTTCTATTCAGAAATAAAAAAAATATATAAATTAAGATAGTAGGAAAAAATCTATAACAACTACCTAGCAGTACGAAAAACGAAATATAAAAAAAAAATTATAACCAATATTATTCGGGATAATATAAGCATTCTTACAATAATCTATACATCCAAATCTGTTCATGCATTTAGAAGTTATAGTACAATAAAGAAACTCACATACATACATGAAGCCTAAAACATTATACTCCTTCGAGCAGTCGTGTAATTTTTTTATAAAACTAAGCTTATATTATATTCCTTATTTATTCAGTAAAGTAAAAAGTATACATAAAAATATACAAGTGTACAAAAAGATATACAAAATATTTGCCTTAATAATATTTTAGTCTTTAATGGACGGATATAATTCAATATTACTTTGACAGCCACAGTAAAATGTTGCCAGTCTTATGAGTAGCGCGCTTAAATTTAAAATAAGAATAAGTAAACAATTATTTTAAACTCATCGAACATGTTTGAACATTCAAACACGGGTATTCGATATTTGAAAATCATTTAGTGCTGCCAACATCACAGTTGCATACATTACATTTGTAAAGAAAAAAAAACAATCACACATCGAGCTCAGTCAATTTTAAACAAACGCCCAAAAATATACACAACGTGATTAAAATCGAGTCGGCCACTAAACCGATAACGCTGTTACTAAACCAACTGTACTTAACTTTCTTTTTTGTTAACCTCCTCTTGTCTACGGTAAGCTTCGCGGGCCACTTTTCAAAATCCGAAGGCACCTTTTGACACTGCGACGAGAACCATTTGCGCGGGAAATTGTTTGAACTCTTCGCCTGTATGCAGATCTCATTGTTTTCACGCAGTGACGTTTTTAATTCTTTGTCTATGGTTATAACCATAGAGCGCAGGTTGTACGCTATGGTTTTTGTGTAAAGTATATTGTTTCTGGCATCTCGTATGTACAGATTGAAGTCTGCGATGTCTTCAGTGGATGTCACGTACCAATATACGTAGATACCGGATTGAGAACTAGAATTATTACATAATTATTATAAAGTGCATTCAACTAAGACTTACCGAAGTGTGTGGTTGTGTTTCGGTTTGAAGGATGGGATATGGCGTGAGTTTACTGGGTACAGAGGAATAACACCTGAGTCCTCAGGAATGGCAACGCATGGGGGGTATCATGGGCGAAACAGTATACTCTGTTATGTCCGTTATGTGTATATTAAATTGGCTCATAAATAAAGAAGTTACATGTTAACGAACATTAGAAAAAATCAACCGAATTGAGTACCTCGTTGTTTTAAAATCGGTTAAAAAATAAAAAAAAAACATAATATAACTTACTACTGTATATCCCTGAATGCCAGGTCCGGTTCCAAGACGAACTCAAAACTGTCAGTGTTGCCATATTCGTTGAGTTTATAATCCGTCTCGATGTTGCCAGTACACAATAATCTCTCCTCGTCTATGGTCAGAATATTTTCATCTTGCAACATTACAGGTTCGGTGCACGTCAAATTGTGATATTTAACCTCAGTTTCCAGTCTCGACGATGACAGATGGTTTAAATAATGCTTCAACGGACGAGTTAAACAATCGCATCTAAGCTTGTTACCTAAAAAATAACATACGATGAAAAAACACTGCATTAAATAATACAAAGTCGCTGCGTATATCTATTTTTTCACTTATATCTAAACCATATTAACACCAGAGGGCGACACTCTCGCAGTTAAATATAAGATTTTAATTTACATGGTTGCGTTTTTCAAGGCACTTCCTTCCACGCACAACCACTCTTTGGAATCAACTTCCAGCAGCAGTATTTCCGAACCGATACGACAACATAACCTTCAAGAAAAGAGCATATTCCTTTTTAAAAGGCCGGCAGCACACCTGCAATGCTTCTACTGTTGTGGGTGATCATGGGCGGCGGTAGTCACTTACCATCAGGTGAGCCGCATGCTCGTTTGCAAACACAACTGCTTCACGGTTGAAACACGAATGGGACAGAGGTGGCCAAGCAAACGACTTTTGTACAAAGTCTCCCTCTGGTAAATTATTTATTATTATTATTAAAGTTTATTTATTAATAACGGAGATCGCGGCTTATTAAATAATACTCAACTAGCGAAAAATTACTCGTGATCTTAGAGGTACTTGATCAGCTCTACGCACAGTTGGATTACAGACTGGTTTTGTCCATCTACCCCCCCCAATACGATCCCAGGTTTGGTCGGAAATATGGATAAGTAAGTAAGCTGGAAAAAGCTGGAAGGATATTGCGTTCAGAAACCTTTAATACATATTAATTTACCAGAGGGAGACTTTGTACAAAAGTCGTTTGCTTGGCCACCTCTGTCCCATTCGTGTTTCAACCGTGAAGCAGTTGTGTTTGCATGGCTGTGTTTCGGTTTGAAGGGTGGGATATGGCGTGAATTTACTGGGTACGGAGGAACAACATCCGAGTCCTCAGGAATGGCAACGCATGGGAGGTATCATGGGCGAAACTGTATAGTTTGTTACCACTTTCCATCAGATGGGCCGTCAGCTTGTTTGTCATTCTAAGTTGTATAAAAAAAAAAAAAAAAAAAAAAAACATATACAAATTAGGAGACTGTATCAACCACCTACCTTCAAAGAAGACTTGGAGCCCCTCACTTCTGATTTTCCTCACCAAATACGGGTCTAAGGTTGTTAATTGGTTATTTCGAACGTTCAGAATGTGGAGACGCGTCGCATTCACCAGTCTGTCAATGGGAAGATCATCCAGCATGTTGTTTTGTAAATATAGTTCGGTTATGTTCTCCGGCAGGGCGAAATTACGTTCGGCTGAAAAAAAAGTTTTTATTAATAAATGAAGACGGAATACACCTGCCTATGCTGTAGGTATACGCTGACGGGGCACCAGTGAAAGATGATAGGTTTTTTAATGGATGATAATGGAATGGTAACGTAACTGCGCTATCGGTATACGCTGGCGGGGCACCAGTGAGAAATGATAGGTGAGGATGAAAGTCCATCGTAACGCATTCTACTAGAATAAACCATAACAGTTTCCAAGGGGAACCACGTGGACGTCGACCTGATAAGGTGTATTGCTTGTAATGGGGAAATTAGACTCCATCACTAACAATCCCTTTTCCCCCAGAGATGATAGGTGAGAATGAAAGCAGGTCAGTTGTCTTAGTCCTCGGGGTAAAGGGATTATTAGTAATGGGACTAGAGGCCCCATTGCTAACAATATACCTTATCAGGTCGATCTCCACGCGGTTCCCCCTAGAAACCATTTTGATTAATTCTTTATGAATTCGTCACTATGGGCCAACTGACCTACTTCATCCTCAGCTATCATCCCTCACTGGTGCCCCGGCAGCGTATACCGACAGCGCAGGTGGGGTTACTATTTCAATGTATTAAAAAAACTTGCTTCTTCCGTAATTAGAGATAGAAACCTTATACTCCATAAGAGACTTTGTATAGTCAAAGTCATATGTATGGGTACTACTGTCCCACGGATACCCGACGCAGCTAGCACAGGCTATAGCCGCTTACCATCAGGCGGGCCGTATGTTCGATCGGCACTCGTTATATAAAAAAATGTAGATGTACTTACAAGACCTCGAAATCAGACTGTTCAAGTCGTTATTGGATAGATCCAACACCTCCAAGGAAGTCAAATTTCCCAACACATCTGAAATAAACAATTTTACATTAATCTGTATTGAAATTTGTAATAAATCTGTAGAGAGGTCAATTCTGTACATGAAATATATTTCCAAAATAACTATCAGCGGGTGATTAGTGATCGATACTGATGACAAAAATGCAATCAGTGAAATTTTTGTCTGTCTGTCTGTATGTTCGTTATAGAAACAAAAACTACTCGAAGGATTTTAACGAAACTTGGTACAATTATTCTTCATACTCCTGGGCAGGTTATAGTATACTTTTCATCACGCTACGATCAATAGGAGCAGAGCAATGAAGGGAAATGTTGGATAAACGGAAGAAGTAACTCTATTTTTAAGCTTCCGTCGCGTGTGCAGCCTTAATGGCCACTTTTTAAAATGTCCACCCGTGCGAAACTAGAGATGGGCCGCTAGTAAATAATAAATAAATAAACAAGTAATATTTTTTTTGAGTCTTCCGGTTGTCGTCTTCATAATATATATATATAGAGATCTCTTTCAAAGATAAGCCCACCCTTGCATTTGACAAGTTGTTAAACTAATCGCTGTATCTATTGTTCAAGTGAAATATTGTACATATATATAATTAATTAAAGATTGTGACCCACAAACAAAACCGACTTCAATTGTTAAAACAAACCAGATATTTTGATTTAAAAACTAAACTACAAAACTGATTTTAATAAAATTTCTATTGGGACCGATCTGTAAGTATATCCTTTTAGATAAAAAAAGAATTTTCCAAATCGGTCCACAACTGACCGAGTTATAAGGTGACAAACATAAAAAAAAAAACAATCAAACTGATAATCTACTTCTTTTTGAAATCGATAAAAAACTCCAAAAACTTGTTTAATACTGTGTAACCTTGTGGTCCCGGCATAGAATAGGCCACCCCTTTCTTTCCCGTGGGTGTCGTAAGAGGCAACTAAGGGAGAGCGAGGGATGGGCAGCAGCGTCCCTATTAAAACATCTCTAAAGCCTAACTGCGGTTGCCAACGCCTGCCAAGCGTGGCAACTACTGGCAAAACCTCTTAGGGAGAGGATTATGTTCAGCAGTGGACAGTAAAAGGCTGATATCATTTTTGTTATGCAACTTAGAATGGCAAACAAGCTGACGGCCCGCCTGATGGAAAGTGGTGACCGTCGCCTATAGACATGAGCAGTACCATGGACATAACAGAGTATACTGTTTCGCCCATGATACCCCCCATGCGTTGCCATTCCTGAGGACTCAGGTATTATTCCTCTGTACCCAGTAAATTCACGCCATATCCCACCCTTCAAACCGAAACACAGCCATGCAAACACAACTGCTTCACGGTAGAAACACGAATGAGACAGAAGTACCCAAGCAATCGACTTTTGTACAAAGACATGACATGTACATAACAGAGTATACTATTTCGCCCATGATACACCCACGCGTTGCCAGTCCTGAGGACTCGGGTGTTATTCCTCCGTACTCAGTAAATTCACGATGATGTAAAGTCACTTACTGCTTCGAATATCGTTAATAACATTTCCTGTAAAGTTCATTCTCTTCACTTTACCAGCGCCATATGTCAAGTCGAAAGTCAACACAGGTATCTCGTTATAGCTCAGATCGATTTCCATGAGCCTATAGGGTATCCATGGGGACGATGGGAACATCTTCTTTGTTAGAAAACCGAAGCGATTGGAACTCAGATCTACCTACAATATTTTTTTTTTAAATATTTAGTGTGCAGAGAAATTTGACATACATTTGTTTATTATTAATTATATAGATAGAGTGTCTCCCGGGGGGAAAGGGATTGTTAGTAATGGAGACTGAGAATCCCATTGCTAGCAATATATCCAGCCAGGTCGATCTCCTCGCGGTTCCCCCTGGAAACTATCATGGTTAATTCCTGATGAATTCATCACGATGGGCTAACTGGTCTGTTTTCATTCTCATCTATCACCCTTCACTGGTGCTCCGCCAGCGTATCCCGTTAGCGCGGGCGGGGTTACCATACCATTTTCACCCATCAAAAAGATAGAGTGTCTCCCATACAAATGCTTCGAGAAAAACGAGTCGACTTTTTCATACAATTTCGCGTGATAAATAGTTATGAGTGATTCCTTTATAACTTCTATATTTATTTTGTCTTATAAATTTTGCACTTTATTAATGCGTAAACACTCATTTTATTTATTAAATAATTAAATATAGATACGTCAAGTTACATTGTGTGCGTAAGTATATAGAGCACTGATAAAAACAACGAGTCAGCTAATTTGACAATTGGCTGACAAAAAGTTGACACGTTTTTGAGGCTCGACGCTCTATCTATACAATCTATATACATATTATATACAATCTACGTCGAATCGTCGGCAATAAATAAGCAGATATGTATTTTATTATACAACTTAGAATGGCAAACAAGCTGACGGCCCACCTGATGGATAGTGGTAACCGTCGCCTATAGACATGAACAGTACCATGGACGTAACAGAGTATACTGTTTCGCACATGATACCCCCCATGCGTTGCCATTCCTGAGGACTCGGATGTTGTTCCTCTGTACCCTGTAAATTCACGCCATATCCCACCCTTCAAACCGAAACACAGCCATGCAAACACAGCTGCTTCACGGTAGAAACACGAATGGGACAGAGGTGGCCAAACAATCGACTTTTGTACAAAGTCTCCCTCTGGTATGTACTAATTACAAAGACCTGTAAAGGCTTTCACATAGCGTTAAGTCCCGGTTGAATATTTAAAATATGTGTAAACACAACGCAAAAGTTTAGAAAGAATCATCATATTTTTTACAAAGTCGCGGGCAAAACTCAATATTATAATATTTACCTTTTCCAAAGACAATAAATCGTCCAATAAACCATTGGTTTTGTTGTCAATTTTCTCCAGAAGATTGTTCGACAGGTCCAATTTCCTGAGAGCAGAACAGAATTCACTATTATTATACTTGTGAGAGTGTCGCCCTCTATTGTCAATTGTTAACGTCAATTATGCTAATGTACGAACGAGGAATGAATTATGAACGGACGCTGAATTCAATAACGAATCAATGATGAATAATTTAATGACGATAATGATAAATAAATGAATGATAAATTGTAAATGAATTATTTTAAAATGAATAACTTATAAATGATCGGTGAATACTGAATAAACAATGTGTGATTGCTAAATGAATCCTCTACCCAAAGGTTGTGTTAAGAATTAAATATATGATGTACCTGTATAAAATAGAAAATGGATAAATTCAATAATTAATATTTGCATGCCATTTGATGTGGCGAAACATAATGGACATCTTATAAACTTCACAAATGCAACACCTTTTCTACAATGTTTCTAGCAAATAAATTTCATTTCAAATGAAATCATTTCATTTCAAGAGATTGCTCAGCGATAAGGCCGCCATTTGTATCACTTCTTATTTATATTCACTGTATTTGTTATTTCTCTTTTTACTCGGTGCAATAAAGTGTAAAATAAATAAATAAGTGAAGTAATAGCATATGCATAATGGCTGGATAATAAATTAACGATGAATGAACGAATCGAATGAATAATAAAACAATAATGAACAGCTGTTTAAATGAATGATGAACGAATGGTGGGTGAATGAAAAATGATTTATGAATGAATGACGATAGTAAACAAGAGTAAGAGAGAGAGAGAGGAGAAAGAGTAAGTAGTATGATAAACTATGAATGTATGAAGAATAACTGGTGAATGGAGAATTAATGGCGAATGGAGAATTAATGTCGAATGAACCCGAATACATACCTTAACGCGACTAGCCCCTTGAACGCCTCATTGGGTATATAACTCAGGTGGTTACCACTCAAGGTCAAGTTTATCAATTGCTGCATACCATTGAAGGAGAGCTGAGATATCTCAGCCAACTGGTTGTGCGACAGGTCCAAGTTGAACAAAGTGGGCAGATTGCCGAACGCTGACTTTGTCAGTGTTGTTATATTATTGTGCTGAAAATAGATTTTAGGGATATAGTTGATGACGCTACACAAATAATCATCATCATCATCATCAATCATCATCTTTTATATTTTATTTATTTATATATTACTTATATTTTATATATCTAATTACATTACTAATTAAATTACGCTACCATCAGTATGTGTGCGACTGCCAACATTCGAAGACTGACCACCACTATTACTACCAGAAGTTCCACAACCTTCCATATTAGCCATCAATCTCCGACTGCCATTTCGTCCACGCATGTTTTGCAACACGTGTTGTATCTCCAAACGAGGCATCTTTAGACGAATTAATAGACCGCTGCTCGGAGTCTAGTCTTAACCGTTCGGTATCCAAACTTTATATATCCACTGATGATGAAAGATCGATGGGTCTATCTTCAGACACACTGTGCAGACTGTGCAGTGAGGAATCGGAATCCATGGAACACTTGATGTGCAACTGCGATTCGTTGGAAAGTATGCGTATGAGTCTACTGGGAACGGCTTATCCGGAGCCAGAGGACTACAGGTATCTTAAACCGTGGGATATCGTTAAGGTAACACATAGGAGCTATGAAGTGATGGTATAAGGCAGGGGGAAGCACAAGAGACCGAAATGGGTCGACGTGCAACAGCTTAGCTGACCCCATATGCGAATATAAGACGATGAGGTCGAAAAACGAGATACGCTAGTTAAAAAAAAACATACCTGTAAATACAAATACTGTAAACTGGTGAGCACGTTCAGCGCTTGCCACGGCGGTCTGGTCACGCCGTTCAGCGACAAATCGAGCGCTTGCAGCGTCAACAGGCCCGAGAAACTGTCGGACGACAAATTGTCGCCGAGATTGTTGGCGGACAGGTTGAGGCGCAGTAACGCGTTCATAGTCGGCCACGTGTTTGCTTTGATTTCCGATAACTCGTTGTGGGCAAAGTTGAGATCGCTGCAACAATAAAAAAAAATTTGCAACTAACACAAAATCACAAGAATGATCCATTAAAATATTTGGACATATTTTAATGGAATAATTAGATCGAGAAATGTCGACTGGTTTGAGGACCATTCCGGACCGTTAATCGTGAGCGGCTGCGATTAATTACACGTTATTTAAACCGACAGTTATTACAATAAAATATAATGTGTGCTTATGGGATTTTTAGCAATAAATATATAAATAATAAAATACATTTGATTGATAAAATTATAACTAATGATAAGATCGAAGGAAGTTGTGAATGGGAAGACCAAGGCATAATCGTATCAAAAAGTTGATGTCTGTCATGCCTAAATGTCATTTCTTTCATTTATTTACATTTCATTAGGTTCATTCATTCTATTCGCTTTATTCGTTTCATTTGCTTCATTTTTTTTTTTAATTTAGACTTTAATTGAACTGGATTTAATTGCTTTCTATTTGTATACTATTTATTTTTGTTTGTTTTGTTTTTGTTTCTTCTCTTTTTTGTTTTGTGCGCTAGTGTGGGTCGCATACTTCTTCGATTAAATTCTTTGTTTCTTTCTTTCTTCTTTCATTTATCATTGCCTTCCTTCATTTCTAGATAGATAATTTATTTACATTACTTACAGCACACAAATTATTATACTAACATACACATAATACATAATAAAAGAGATAAAAGAATGAAAATAAAAAAGCAACAAAACAAAAAAAAACAAAAAGCAAAATATATAAAACAACAATTTCCTTCTTTCATGCGTGTGCCACAGCACAGATAATATAATTACTATACTAGTACAGATAGATCATGTTGAACAAACAAGTGAAAAGCTCTAAGTCGGCTTATTCTTCGGCTTAATTTTTAGTTGCTTATATGTGCGCTAGATGCCGCTACTTTCTTAGTCGCTCGCCAGCTCAAGCTAATAAATTAATTTACCGATGACTACTAATTGCGTAAGCAACTTATAGATGGCGTAAATCTCTGTGGCGTTTGCTGTTATTGTGGAATGTTATACCTATACATATAAATAATAATTACCTATCTATTTGAATCGTTTCGGCGGTCTCGTCTTGCGTTTATACATATATAGTTCAGTAGGTAAGTATTGCACGAGACTGCGTAGGAATTTAAATAGCTCGCTTTACATGAATCGTAATACGATATACTTTACGTAACTCTCCGAATGTGTTAGGTTTTTTTTTTATTATATAAATAGATAAGTACTTAGTATACTCGTGTTATCATGTCGTTCTATATTTGTCATTTCTGAACTTATTTAGTTACTTTAATTCAATATGCTTTACGTGTTCTTGCGTTCATTGCATGTAAATTTTGTGATAGGTAAAGCGTTTTTGTGGAACAAAATGTTAGTACTGTGTGAGGATGATGATGATGAAATCAGTCACTGTGTCTAGTCAGTCCGAGTGTCTAGTGCCCGAGTATCTAGTGTCAAGTATCTGAGTGTCTAGTGTCAAGTGTCTGAGTGTCTAGTGTCCGAGTGTCTAGTGTCCAAATGTCTGGCGTCCGGGTGTCTAGTGTTCGAGTGTCTAGTGTACGAGTGTCTAGTGTCCGAGTGTCTAGTGTCCGAGAGTCTAGTGTCTAGTGTCACGTGTCTAGTGTCCGAGTGTCTAGTATCTGAGTGTCTAGTGTTTGTGTGTCTGAGTGTCCAGTGTCCGAGTGTCTGAGAGTCTAGTGTCAGAGTGTCTGGTGTCCGAGTGTCTAGTGTCTAAATGTCTGGCGTCCGAGTGTCTAGTGTCCGAGTGTCTAGTGTAAGAGTGTCTAGTGTCCGAGTGTCTAGTGTCCGTGTGTCTAGTGTCAAGTGTCTAGTGTCCGAGTGTCTAGTGTTTGTGAGTCTGAGTGTCTAGTGTCCGAGTGTCTGAGTGTCTAGTGTCTGTGTATCTGAGTGTCTAGTGTCCGAGTGTCTGTGTGTCTGAGTATATAGTGTCTGAGTGTCTAGTGTCTAGTGTCCGAGTGTCTAGTGTCCGAGTGTCTAGTATCTGAGTGTCTAGTGTCTGTGTGTCCGAGTGTTTAGTGTCTAGTGTGCGAGTGTCTAGTGTGCGAGTGTCTAGTGTCAGTGTCTAGTGTCTGTGTGTCTGAGTGTCTAGTGTCCGAGTGTCTGTGTGTCTGAGTATCTAGTATCTGAGTGTCTAGTGTCTGTGTGTCCGAGTGTTTAGTGTCTAGTGTGCGAGTGTCTAGTGTCAGTGTCTAGTGTCTGAGTGTCTAGTGTCAAGTGTCTAGTGTTCGAGTGTCTAGTGTCTAGTGTCCGAGTGTCTAGTGTCCGAGTGTCTAGTGTAAGAGTGTCTAGTGTCCGAGTGTCTAGTGTCCGTGTCTAGTGTCTAAGTGTCTAGTATCTGTGTGTCTGAATGTCTAGTGTCCGAGTGTCTGAGTGTCTAGTGTCCGAGTGTCTAGTGTCTGAGTGTCTAGTGTTTAAGTGTCTAGTATTTAAGTGTCTAGTGTCTGAGTGTCGAGTGTCGAGTGTCGCGTGTCGCGTGTCGAGTATCGAGTGTCGAGTGTCGAGTGTCGAGTGTCGAGTGTCGAGTGTCGAGTGTCGAGTGTCGAGTGTCGAGTGTCGAGTGTCGAGTGTCGAGTGTCGAGTGTCGAGTGTCGAGTGTCGAGTGTCGAGTGTCGAGTGTCGAGTGTCGAGTGTCGAGTGTCGAGTGTCGAGTGTCGAGTGTCGAGTGTCGAGTGTCGAGTGTCGAGTGTCGAGTGTCGAGTGTCGAGTGTCGAGTGTCGAGTGTCGAGTGTCGAGTGTCTAGTGTCTAGTGTCTAGTGTCGAGTGTCGAGTGTCGAGTGTCGAATGTCGAGTGTCGAGTGTCGAGTGTCGAGTGTCGAGTGTCGAGTGTCGAGTGTCGAGTGTCGAGTGTCGACGTCGAGTGTCGAGTGTCGAGTGTTTAGTGTCTAGTGTGCGAGTGTCTGAGTGTCTAGTGTCTGTGTGTCTAGTGTCTGTGTGTCTGAGTGTCTAGTGTCCGAGTGTCTGTGTGTCTGAGTATCTAGTATCTGAGTGTCTAGTGTCTGTGTGTCCGAGTGTTTAGTGTCTAGTGTGCGAGTGTCTAGTGTCAGTGTCTAGTGTCTGAATGTCTAGTGTCAAGTGTCTAGTGTTCGAGTGTCTAGTGTCTAGTGTCCGAGTGTCTAGTGTCCAAGTGTCTAGTGTAAGAGTGTCTAGTGTCCGAGTGTCTAGTGTCTAAGTGTCTAGTATCTGTGTGTCTGAATGTCTAGTGTCCGAGTGTCTGAGTGTCTAGTGTCCGAGTGTCTAGTGTCGAGTGTCGAGTGTCGAGTGTCGAGTGTCGAGTGTCGAGTGTCGAGTGTCGAGTGTCGAGTGTCGAGTGTCGAGTGTCGAGTGTCGAGTGTCGAGTGTCGAGTGTCGAGTGTCGAGTGTCGAGTGTCGAGTGTCGAGTGTCGAGTGTCGAGTGTCGAGTGTCGAGTGTCGAGTGTCGAGTGTCGAGTGTCGAGTGTCGAGTGTCGAGTGTCGAGTGTCGAGTGTCGAGTGTCGAGTGTCGAGTGTCGAGTGTCGAGTGTCGAGTGTCGAGTGTCGAGTGTCGAGTGTCGACGTCGAGTGTCGAGTGTCGAGTGTTTAGTGTCTAGTGTGCGAGTGTCTGAGTGTCTAGTGTCTGTGTGTCTGAGTGTCTAGTGTCCGAGTGTCTGTGTGTCTGAGTATCTAGTATCTGAGTGTCTAGTGTCTGTGTGTCCGAGTGTTTAGTGTCTAGTGTGCGAGTGTCTAGTGTCAGTGTCTAGTGTCTGAGTGTCTAGTGTCGAGTGTCGAGTGTCGAGTGTCGAGTGTCGAGTGTCGAGTGTCGAGTGTCGAGTGTCGAGTGTCGAGTGTCGAGTGTCGAGTGTCGAGTGTCGAGTGTCGAGTGTCGAGTGTCGAGTGTCGAGTGTCGAGTGTCGAGTGTCGAGTGTCGAGTGTCGAGTGTCGAGTGTCGAGTGTCGAGTGTCGAGTGTCGAGTGTCGAGTGTCGAGTGTCGAGTGTCGAGTGTCGAGTGTCGAGTGTCGAGTGTCGAGTGTCGAGTGTCGAGTGTCGAGTGTCGAGTGTCGAGTGTCGAGTGTCGAGTGTCGACGTCGAGTGTCGAGTGTCGAGTGTTTAGTGTCTAGTGTGCGAGTGTCTGAGTGTCTAGTGTCTGTGTGTCTGAGTGTCTAGTGTCCGAGTGTCTGTGTGTCTGAGTATCTAGTATCTGAGTGTCTAGTGTCTGTGTGTCCGAGTGTTTAGTGTCTAGTGTGCGAGTGTCTAGTGTCAGTGTCTAGTGTCTGAGTGTCTAGTGTCAAGAGTCTAGTGTTCGAGTGTCTAGTGTCTAGTGTCCGAGTGTCTAGTGTCCGAGTGTCTAGTGTCCGAGTGTCTAGTGTAAGAGTGTCCAGTGTCCGAGTGTCTAGTGTCTAAGTGTCTAGTATCTGTGTGTCTGAATGTCTAGTGTCCGAGTGTCTGAGTGTCTAGTGTCCGAGTGTCTAGTGTCGAGTGTCGAGTGTCGAGTGTCGAGTGTCTGAGTGTCGAGTGTCGAGTGTATCGGCTCGGTTTGTGTCGGGTGTCGTGTCTCGTGTTGTGTCGAGTGTCGAGTGCCGAGTGTCGAGTGTCGAGTGTCGAGTGTCGAGTGTCGAGTGTCGAGTGTCGAGTGTCGAGTGTCGAGTGTCGATTGTCGAGTGTCTAGTGTCCGAGTGTCTAGTGTCCGAGTGTCCGAGTGTCTAGTGTCAGAGTGTCTAGTGTAAGAGTGTCGAGTGTCGAGTGTCGAGTGTCGAGTGTCGAGTGTCGAGTGTCGAGTGTCGAGTGTCGAGTGTCGAGTGTCGAGTGTCGCGTGTCGAGTGTCGAGTGTCGAGTGTCGAGTGTCGACGTCGAGTGTCGAGTGTCGAGTGTCGAGTGTCGAGTGTCTAGTGTCCGAGTGTCTAGTGTTTAAGTGTCTAGTATTTAAGTGTCGAGTGTCGAGTGTCGAGTGTCGAGTGTCGAGTGTCGAGTGTCGAGTGTCGAGTGTCGAGTGTCGAGTGTCGAGTGTCGACGTCGAGTGTCGAGTGTCTAGTATCCGAGTGTCTAGTATCTGTGTGTCTGAATGTCTAGTGTCCGAGTGTCTGAGTGTCTAGTGTCCGAGTGTCTAGTGTCTGAGTGTCTAGTGTTTAAGTGTCTAGTATTTAAGTGTCTAGTGTCTGAGTGTCGAGTGTCGAGTGTCGAGTGTCGAGTGTCGAGTGTCGAGTGTCGAGTGTCGAGTGTCGAGTGTCGAATGTCGAGTGTCGAGTGTCGAGTGTCGCGTGTCGAGTGTCGAGTGTCGAGTGTCGAGTGTCGACGTCGAGTGTCGAGTGTCGAGTGTCGAGTGTCGAGTGTCGAGTGTCGAGTGTCGAGTGTCGAGTGTCGAGTGTCGAGTGTCGAGTGTCGAGTGTCGAGTGTCGAGTGTCGAGTGTCGAGTGTCGAGTGTCGAGTGTCGAGTGTCGAGTGTCGACGTCGAGTGTCGAGTGTCTAGTGTCCGAGTGTCTAGTATCTGTGTGTCTGAATGTCTAGTGTCCGAGTGTCTGAGTGTCTAGTGTCCGAGTGTCTAGTGTCTGAGTGTCTAGTGTTTAAGTGTCTAGTATTTAAGTGTCTAGTGTCTGAGTGTCGAGTGTCGAGTGTCGAGTGTCGAGTGTCGAGTGTCGAGTGTCGAGTGTCGAGTGTCGAGTGTCGAGTGTCGAGAGTCGAGTGTCGAGTGTCGAGAGTCGAGTGTCGAGTGTCGAGTGTCGAGTGTCAAGTGTCTAGTGTCTAGTGTCCGAGTGTCTGAGTGTCTGTGTGGCTGAGTGTCTAGTGTCCGAGTGTCTAATGTCCGAGTGTCTAGTGTCTGAGTGTCTAGTGTCAAGTCTGTGTCTGTGTGGCTGAGTCACTAGTGTCCGAGTGTCTGAGTGTCTAAGTATCTAGTGTCTGAGTGTCTGAGTGTCTAGTGTCCTTAGACACTATACTACACTCGGACATTAGACACTCAGACACTTGACACTCATACACACAGACACACAGACACTAGACACTCGGATATTAGACACTCAGATACTTGACACTCAGATACTTGACACTCAGATACTTGACACTCAGACACTAGACACTTGACACTAGACACTCAGACGCTGGACACACTGACACTAGACACTCAGACACTAGACTCTCAGACACTTGACACTCAAACACACAGACACACAGACACTAGACACTCAGACACTAGACACTCGGACACTAGACACACAGACACTAGACACTCGGACACTTGACACTCAGACACTAGACACTTAGACACTAGACACTCGGACACTAGACATTCAGACACTAGACACTCAGACTCTAGACACTCGGACACTAGACACTCGGACACTAGACACTTGACACTTAACACTCAAACACACAGACACCAGACACACAGACACTAGACACTAGACACTCGGACACTAGACATTCAAACACTGGACTTTCAGACACTAAACACTCAGACACACAGTCTCTAGACACTCAGATACTAGACACTCTGATTCTGATCGATAGATCGATAGTCTGAGTGTCTAGTGTCTGCGTGTCAGAGTGTCAAGTGTCTGATAGTCTAGTGTCTGAGTGTATAGTGTCTGAGTGTCTCGAGACTGTGTCTGAGTGTCTAGTGTCTGCGTGTCAGAGTGTCAAGTGTCTGATAGTCTAGTGTCTGAGTGTATAGTGTCTGAGTGTCTCGAGACTGTGTCTGAGTGTCTAGTGTCTGTGTGTTGTGTCACAAAATGGTCACAACGCAGTTTATTGCTTTGCCCTCAAAGGAGCAAAACACTATTGCTCCATTCGTTTATTACATCCGCTTCATTTACTTCGTCTGCTTCATTCACTTCACTTACTTCTTTCGTTGAATTCAGTTCATTCCCTTCCTTCGTTTCATCTAATAATAAATCAAAAATTATCAAACGTTATCTATATATGAACAATATCGGAATGGGTTAGCTTTTCCCCATCATTCATATCCAGCAAAATCCAATATCTTATATATAAAATTCTCGTGTCGCGGTGTTTGTTACCAAACTCCCCCGAAACGGCTTTACCGATTTTTATGAAATTTTGTGTGCATATCGGGTAGGTCTGAGAATCGGCCAACATCTATTTTTCATACCCCTCAATGTAAGGGTTACCCTCCCCAAAATTTTTTTTTTTATTTTTTTGACAAATTTTTCCATTTTTATTTTATTATAATTTAGCATTGTATTCAACCCTTAGTCAACCCTTGTATTTTAATTGCGATTTTTATATTTCGCAATAAGTGGTTAAACAACGTTTACAGGGTCTATATATATATATATATATATATATATATATATATATATATATATATATATATATATATATATATATATATATATATATATATATATATATATATAATGGTACCAATATTACTTATGCCTAGTATACAAGAATAAAGCAGACTCACCCTAAACTTATGGGTATCTGGGGGATCCTCTCCAGATGGTTATAACTGAGATCCATGGTCCTGCAGCTGGCCAACTTGGCGAGACCACCCCTGGAGCCATCTCGCAGCTTGTTGTGCGAGAGATCCACCTCAAGCACCGTCGGTATGGAGCCGAAGGTCGCTGGCTTGATCAGCTCCATGGAGTTGTGGCTTAGGTTCAGGTACCTGGAAAGATATCGAGGGGAGACCGTAACAAACTGGTCAGAGTCACCACTGCTCCATTTCGCCAGTTAACCACTAACTCTGACATAAAATAGTTGTGGATATTTTTCTAACTTACTCATCTTCTTTTTTTCATGAAACTTAGAATGACAAACAAGCTGACGGCCCACCTGATGGAAAGTGGTAACCGTCGTCTATAGACGTCAGCAGTACCATGAACATAACAGAGTATACGAGGTTTGTCCGGAAAGTACGTATAAAAGTTTTTTAAAAATTTTATTTTACAATTATTCAGGTAAATCAATTTTATCCCCTTCAAAGTACTCCCCCTGTGACATAATGCACTTGTGCCAACGCCGTTTCCACTGTGAGAAGGCTCCTTGAAAGTCCTCTGGTTGTAGGTTTCTCAGCTGCCCCGTCGTAGCTTTTTTTATCTCATTTATGTCCCCCAAATGCCGCCCCCGAAGTACCAATTTGGTTTTTGGGAACAAGAAGAAGTCACACGGGGCCAAATCCGGCGAATAGGGGGGTGTTCGGTCACCGTAATGGAATTTTTACTCAAAAACTCACGGACAACAAGAGAGGTGTGGGCAGGGGCATTGTCGTGGTGAAGAATCCAACGCCCCTCTCGCGCCAATTCTGGACGAACTCGTGCCACACGAGCTTTGAGGCGTCTGAGCACATCGACGTAGAATTTTCCATCAACTGTCTGGCCTGGAGGGACGAATTCTTGATGGACAATCCCCGAACATCGAAAAAAACAATCAACATTGTCTTGACATTTGAGCGGGATTTTCTTGATTTTTTTGTTCGTGGTTCCCCGGATGTCTTCCACTCTTTGCTTTGGGATTTTAATTCGACATCAAATTCGTAGAACCAAGACTCATCTCCAGTGATGACTCGGTTCAAAAAGTCACCATTCTCTTCGGCTTCCAACCAGTCCTCACAGCAAGCAACTCTTCGTGATTTTTGATCCGGGGACAAAAGCTTGGGAACGATCTTGGCGCAAATTTTTTTCATTTGAAGTTCGTTTCTTAGAATTTCGTGGACCACGGTTTTGCCCAAATTAAGCTCTTCAGCCACCTGTCTGACCGTTAAACGACGGTCCCCATTAACACAAGTTCGAATTCTTTCCACGTTTTCGTCGGAATGTGAAGTGGAAGGACGTCCTGAACGTGGGTCATCTTGAACGCTTTCTCGGCCCTCTCTGAATCTTTTTAGCCACTTGTGGACGGTTGGTTCCTTCACAGCATCATCCCCATAAACTGTTCTGAGATCGGCAAAAATTTCACGGCCATTCTTGCCGAGTTTCGAGAGAAACTTGATTACGACGCGCTGCTCTTCAACGGAAGCGGGCTCCATGCCGACGGGGTTTCGTTAAGAGGTAACTTCACAGATGGCGTGACAAGCCAGTTCGCACCGCACGGCGGTCAGACCAGAACTGAAGCATTGTTAGGGACATAAGGAAGGGGTCCTGCGCTTACCTGGCCTCCCCACTCCTCTTTCTCGCATTCCAGAACACTTTTATACGAACTTTCCGGACAGACCTCGTATTGTTTCGCCCATGACAACTAATGCGTTACCATTCCTGAGGACTCAGGTGTTATTCCTCTGTACCCAGTAAATTCACGCCATTATCCCACCCTTCAAACCGAAACACAACTGCTTTACGGTTGAAACACGAATGGGACAGAGGTATCCAAGTAATCGACTTTTGTACAAAGTCTCCCTCTCCCTTTACAATCTATACTGATATATCAAGCTTAAAAATGTATTTATATGTGTCGATCTCTCTCTTGCATTCATAGAGCACGCCTATTAATATTTTTTCCTATATCTCTTCCATGTACAGACAGCTAGCAGATACGATTTTATTATAAATTTTTTTACCACACAGGGGGCAAACGAGCATGCGGCTCACCTGATGGTAAGTGACTACCGCCGCCCATGATCACCCACAACACCAGCGGTATTACAGATGTGCTGCCGGCCTTTTAAAAAGGAATATGCTCTTTTCTTGAAGGATATGTTGTCGTATCGGTTCGGAAATACTGCTGCTTGTTTTCCACCTCAGTGGTATATAAAAAAAATTACCATAAATAAAAAAAAAAATACTCACCGCAAAGAGAACAAATTCTGGAACACTCCATTGAATATATCTGTTAGGTTGTTATTGGACAAGTCGACTGTATGGAGCTCATACAACTTGGGGAACGCCATCTTGGGGATCTTCTCTAAACGGTTGTACGATGCGTTCAACACTTGTATACCGGTCATATTGTGGATTGGTATCTGCAAATCATTTTCATACATCAAGCCACTTCCAAAAGTGGGCGTGGCTTTAGCTTTTTTCCCACTACCCGCCAAGAATTATAAAGAAAAATTGTACAAAGTCTTCCTCTGGTGAAAGGTTACCAGAGGGAGACTTTGTGCAAAAGTCGATTGCTTGGTTACCTCTGTCCCATTTGTTTCTACCGTGAAGCAGTTGTGTTTGCATGGCTGTGTTTCGGTTTGAAGTGTGGGATATGGCGTGAGTTTACTGGGTACGGAGGAATAACACCTGAGTCCTCAAGAACGGCAACGCATGGGGGGTATCATGGGCGAAACAGTATACTCTGTTATGTCCATGGTACTGCTCATGTCTATAGACGATCCGTCAGCCGGGCGGGCCGTCAGCTTATATGCCATTTTAAATATCATACAAAAAAACTTACAATTAATAAAAAGAGACAAATTATAAGAACCATTGAGGTCAGAAAGGAAAAAAATTTTGGGACACTTGATACGACACGACGAACTTATGAACATTATAATAGAAGGTAAGATAGAAGGAAGGAGGGGAGAGGGAGACCGAGGCATAGTTACATCAGGCAGATCAAGATAGGAGTTGGTGTCGTGTCGTATCAAGAGGTGAAGGGATTCGCTGCAAATCGTAGTGAGTGGCAAGAGCTCCACCGACAAGAGAGCAGCTCTTAAATTGGATAGATAGAAAAAACTTAAGGAGTAAATTCCATTATCTTTTTGAAACTCACGAACGTAACCTTCGTTCCAATAATACTCTCTGATTATCTTTCCCCTCTCACCGTACTGGTTACGCTTCAAACTCCTTTCTCCTACATTCTTCACGACTCTGGAACGCGCTTCCTGATGCCATTAAGAGACTACCGTCTAAACCGTCTTTCGAAAAAAACGTTCACGCTCACTTTTTATTTTTATCCAAGCAGTAAGTGCTTTATATTATTCCCAAATTCGTGTATAATATAGTATATATCATATATGTGTAAGTATATTTGTTATTCATATATATTTATTCGTTTATATATGTAATTTTAGTATGTATGTATATCAATAATTACTAGTACCGCATTCGAGTATTCTGACACTTGCCTACGGTTGACTGGGAGAGAATGCTTTTAGCATTAAGTCCGCCATGTACACATATTTGTACTAATGAATAAATAAATAAATAAATAAATAAATACACTCACCTGTGAGAAATCCGTGAAATTATTATATGCAACATTGAAGAGAGACGCATAAGATATTTCGTCGAAGGCCAGCCTTTTTATTTTCTCCAATCTATTATGACTGAGGTCCAATACGGTCATATTGTTGCAATTCTGGAACGCCCCTTTCTCTATGGTCGTTAATTGGTTGTGGGATATATTCACTATGGCCAGGTAGAGGTCTGTGAACGCTTGCGAGTCTATGGTCGTGATGTTGTTCTCGGCTAAATTTATTACCTGCAAAAATATTTAAACGATTATATGGCTTTTTTTTCGGACCATTTTTACATAATAGAATGGTTACCCGGCCTGCGCTATCGGTATACGCTGGCCAGGCACCAGTAATAGATGACAGGTGAGGATGAAAGCAGGTCAGTTAGCCCATCGTGACGAATTTCACAAGAATTAACCACGATGGTTTCCAGGGGGAACCACGTTGAGGTCGACCTGATAGGGTATATTGTTAGTATTGGGGCTGTTAGATCCCATTATTAACAATCCCTTTCCCCATGTATGGCATTATTTACAATTGTAAATACTTGAAATTAAGATTTTATGTTCATATTTTTTGCTCTATGGTAAAATAAATAAATGTCACTAGCGAAGCCTTGAGTTCATACATTTTTTTTTTAATAAAATACAGCCCAAGTTTCTCGCTGATACTGTTTAAAATCTATTAAGTTTTTTTGTTATTTTTTTTTTATACAACTTAGAATGGCAAACAAGCTGACGGGAATTCTGTCATGGTTGTAATCTTTGGAATTAAACTAAAATTGTGATAAAAACTTAAATACAAAGAAAGGTAATGTTTTAGTCATGAACGATGAGGAATAACACCTGAGTCCTCAGGAGTGGCAACGCATGGGGGGGTATCGTGGGCGAAACAGTATACTCTGTTATGTCCATGGTACTGCTTATGTCTATAGGCGACGGTTACCACTTTCTATCAGGTGGGCCGTCAGCTTGTTTGTCATTCTAAGTTGTATAAAAAAAAAGCTCAATCAAATTTTAATAAAATTTGGTATAATAAATTTGCTAACTTGACACGATGGACACTTCATATACTGATTGATTGATACGGGCAAAACCGAGGGAAACAGATAGTAAACACATAAAACATAGTAATACCACTCACCTCAGCATATTTGACTTGTTGGAACATTTGGTAGTCGACCTTCGTGATCCTGTTCCTGGCCAGGTCCACTGTACCGATGCGTGTCACTGATGAGAACGTCCCCCGGCCGATGTCTGAGATCTGATTGTCTTGGAGGAAGAGACGCCTGGAATTTTATTAATGTTATATCAATGAGCCCACTACAATCCAGTGCTGGACATAGATCTTTCTCAAAGCACGTTACTAAGTACGATACTTCAGCTCTTCATTATCATCACCATTTCAGCCATTATCCGTCCACTGCTGAACATAGGCTTCCCCCATAGAATGCCAGAACAGTCCTGAGCCACCTGCAACCATTAACTCCCTGCAACTTGGTCAGGAATAACGGAGCCACCGGAGACTAGGGGGCCGTTTTCTTATGCTGTTTACCATTGCGGTGTTTTGCCAGTAGCTGCCACGCTTGGCAGGCGGGTTGGCAACCGTAGTGCGGTTTTGTGGCAAAGCGTGTAGTTAGACAGACAACGGTAGCCTAATAGAAATGTGAATCCATTATCCAATATTCAATAGCGCAGACGGGGTTGCCATTCCATTTCCACCTTGATGGTCCTTCGAGCCGGATCTTTTTAATCAAATCTCGATCCAAACAAAGTTATGACGACGATGAGCAATCAGCAGCGCTTACCTGAGGAACCTCATCCCCCTGAAACTGTTGGTGTCCAACTTCTTAATTTTATTGCTGTTTAAATGCAGTACTTTCAATACTGTATTTCTTGCGAACATTCCTCTGTAATTAACCAATAAATTTTATTTACACAATTTACTTTTTTATTATATTAACTGTTAACCGTCCACTGCTGAACATGAGCCTCCTACTAGAGGAGGGGTTTTGCCAGTAGTTGCCACGCTTGGCAGGCGTATTGGCAACCGCAGTTAGGATATGGCGATGTTTAACGAGGGACGCTGCTGTCAATCCCTCAACTATTGAGTTCCCTTAGTCGCCTCTTACGACACCCACGGAAAAGGAAGGTATGGCCCATTCTATGCCGGAACTACTAGGCCAGAGAATCACTAGATAAAACATGCTAAATATGTGTTACGGTATAACTTAACACTGTATATGCCATACGGTATATTTTTTTTAATATTATTAAGGATTAATTTAGATAATATATGGCTGTATTTTATTTTAAACCTGTGTAAAGTCGGGACAGGTCACTAGTATATTATAAACTTAATTTACTTGACATTATTTTTAATTCTATTCCATGATGGTGGTTGAAAAGATATTTCTCCGAGAGACTACAGCATAAAGTTCTTCAAAAAAGTGGTAAAGAGGTTTCTTCGTGGTCGGCTACACGCTCGTAGTACCCCTGGTATTGCAGGTATTCATAGGCTACGGTAACCGTTTACCATCAGATGGGTCATAGGCTTGTTTGCCACCTCAGTGGTATAAATAAGCCCCTTTTATGACGAATCAATATCGAACACATATTTTTTTCTTTAAACTGACAACTAGTTTTTATAATATAGTTGATATTTACCAGAGGGAAACTTTGTACAAAAGTCGATTGCTTGGGTACCTCTGTCTCATTCGTGTTTCAACCATGAAGCAGTTGTGTTTGCATGGCTGTGTTTCGGTTTGAAGGATGGGATATGGCGTGAATTTACTGGGTTTACAGGGTACAGAGGAATAACACCTGAGTCCTCAGGAATGGCAACGCATGGAGGGTATCGTGGGCGAAACAGTATACTCTATTTTGTGCATGGTACTGCTCATGTCTATAGGCGACGGTTACCACTTTCCATCAGGTGGGTCGTCAGCTTGTTTGCCATTCTAAGTTGTATAAAAAAAATGACTAGTAGGAGAGTCGTCATCGTCACATCAGTGGTTAACTGTCCACTGCTGGACATAGGCCACCTTATAAACGTGGGGAACGTTCCTTATGGCAATAAGGAACGTTCCCCAGCCACATACATCCATTGACTCCCCTCAATACATTCGAGGTCTATGCTCCATCTATTGGGGGGTCCTACACAACGTTTGCCTGTACGGGGCCGTCACTCAAGAACCTTTCTCCCCCATTTTCAAACGGTTACATATACTTTAATACCTGGGTATATCAGCGATCAGGTTATGGCTGGCATTGCACCAGCCGAGCTTCGTCAAGTCACCAATATGGCTGCCGTCCAGTTTCGTTATATTGTTGTGGCTGTAACGGAAATAGTGTAATCAATACACGGTATACGTCATTAGGCAGTAGCGTTATTTAATAAATCACCTGACCAGTTGAAAATTGTACAAAATCTCAATTCCTTTAAAATTAAATCACGATCCCTTTTTTTTTTTGAGAAAAATATACTAACAGAAGGACCAAAAAAAATCTAAATTCTCGGCGATTTTTCAAATTATATATAATAATTATAATTATATTTATCCTTGATAAAAAAATTGTCGCATTATCAAAAAATACCTTATGTCGAGCACTTCCGCGTCCCTGAGTCCTTTGAACTGATTTCTCTTCAATGTTGCCAACCTGTTGCCGTGTAGATCCAAAGTTTTGAGTTTCTTCAAGTTCTGGAAATTAATTTTTTTTTTCATTTATTCTTTATTGACCCCATTACAAAAAATGTCTGGTACAAATGGCGGACTTAATACTATGTAGCATTCTCTCGCAGTCAACCTTTGGCAAAACAGAAATGTAGACAGTATTATAGTTAGAGAAGCAATTACAGACATGTCCAATCACTATGTACATAGTATAGAACAAAGTCGCTTCTAGTCTGTCTGTCCCTTACATCTTTAAAACTACGCAAACAAATTTTGATGCTGTTTTTTTATTAGATAGTGTGATTCAAGAGGGAGATTTATATGTATAATACATGCATAATATTGTAGAGAAACACTGATAATTTTAGAGGTTTCTAATGTGATGTCGTAAATAAACACGTTTTTTGTGTTTACATTGCAAACGCAGGCTGAACCCCACGAGATAAATCAAAATAATGTACTACAGTATACATGTGTTTACTTTAAGAAGGTCCACAAAAAAATCGGCGATGGTATATGTCTATCTCTTAAGGATAACCCACAATAACCATTTTTTATCCTTTACATTTTACGGGAAAAAATGGCTTATTTACGAAGTGATTTTAAGCAATACAGCATTAATTTTTATCCAATTAAGTACCTTAAAAACATTGTGCATTTAATATAGAACAATATGACCCTTTACAGTATGTAATTTAAATGAATCTTTTCGAAGATATTACAAATTTAAAATGCAGGGACATAGCGGTTGCGGCAGTACCGGCCGGGTGGCCGGTGCTGATAATAAATAGCGCCGCGCTATTTATTATCAGCATTGGTCCCGTGCAAAGCCGGGTCGAGTTGCTAGTAAATAAATTAAAAAATACCTGGAAAGCTTCAACTGGTAAGTCAGATATGAGTCCATTGGTCAGGTGCAACCTCTCCAACCGGCCCACCGCCTCACTGCCAGCGAAGATATCCTTGCCCAGCGTCCTCATCTCGTGTCCATCAATTGACAACAATGATAAGTTACTTAGGATCTGGAAAATAAAAAGTTCTATCACACATCACTGTCCAATCGAAGGACAAGGCATCGTTAGTAACAGGGGTCTAATTGCCCCATTACTAGCAATATACCCTATCAAATCGACCTCCACGCGGTTCCCCCTGTAAGCCATCGTAAATAATTTATTATTAAATTCAGCACGATGGGCTAACTGATCTACCTTATCATCCTCACCTACCATCCTTCACTGGTACCTCACCAGCGTATACCAATAGCGCAAGCGGCTACTATTTCACTATCATGTATTAAAAAAAGCATTTAAGGTAGAGTTTTGGGTTTTTAAGGCAGAGTATTGCTCCTCAATGCTCCCCCCCCCCCCCAACCCTAGCTAAGACCAGGCATAACTATAATAATATTAATGACCGACATACCTTGAACGCTTCCTTCGGAAACTCAGCAATTTTTGTGTTGACCATCCTTAGCTCTTGGAGAGTCCGGTTGACACCAGCGAATGCATACTCGTCTATGGTTTTTATTGGTGTATCCACTATATGCAAAACCCTTATGGTGGAACGGTGTAATAGAGCACCATGGAGATGGACTGGAATAAAGTGTATTTTAAAATTAATACGGGAATGAATGAATTATCATTTATATAAATTCTGTCAATTTATATGTTTGTTCAAGCATCATGCAAACACTACTGCACCAAATTGCATGCGGTTTTTACAATTGTACTCCCGAAGGTCTAATTTAAAATCTGGTGAATGTATTCTTTTAATATGCCATCTAAAAGTGATTTATTTAATTAGTTTCCTATTTCTAAAATCCATACATAAATAGTAAAAAAGCATAAAGATTAAATAAATTAATAGCTCAATAAATGTATTTACTATCATACATTATAAGAAACAATGTTAATTCTCTACAAATAGAATAAATGTGGAAGTAAGTTTGTTTGTTTGACTTAATATCTCAACAGATCATTATGAAATTCAGTACATTTATTTATTTATTTATTTAAGGAACACCAACAGCATATTGCATTATAACATATAGGTATAACAAACATTAAATATAATACAATATTAATGCACACGCCTGTTATAGGTATTCACAGCATTCACTTTAACATAATTATACAGTGCAAGAAAAAATAAACATATAACCTAAGTTGTGAGCAATATCAGAAAATACGATTATGAGTGAATTGAATTAAAAAAATAATATAATTAATATTTTATATGTTTAACATACTCCTAACCAATTTCACTGTTTACTAAGTAATTAAGTATAATTTCACATAAGTAAATAAAAGAACACTTACAAATTTTACATTCCCTCAGTTCCAACCTTTCAATTGGCAACCCTAATCCCGCTATGTTCCCCAATCCCACACTGAGTACTGCCAGCCCTGTATTCTCGCATTTTATGTACAACCCTGCGTCTGTCCCTTTCTCGCAAATGCACGGGTACAGCAGCTGTTGCTGTGTCTCCTTTGGGCATGGGTATGCCGGGCCTGGTGGGACATACTCTGATGATATGTATGGCAGCAGGGTCAATAAAATGATGATCATGATGGTAGGTCGGTGATCTGAAAAGTAAATAATATTCAATCAGAAAATAATACTTCTACTATGGACAATTCAAACTTTTATAACTTGGGGAAAGGGATAGTTAGTAATAGGGTCTAACAGCCCCTGGTTTGCTAGCAATATATCCTATCAGGTTAACCTCCATGCGGTTCCACCTGGAAACCATCATAATCAAGTCTTGTTGAATTCATCACGATGGGCCAACTGACCTGCTTTCATCCTCACCTATTGTCTCTCACTGGTGCCGCACCTGTGCATACCAATAATGCAGACTATGCTATTCTATTTTTATCCATAAAATAAAACTTTTATAACTGTAAAAAAAAAAGTTTTCAAATGCAGTACCATTTTTAGATAGAGGATTTATACATAAGATTCATACCATTTGTAGCATGTCTTTTTATGATATAATAATAAAACTTAACAAAGAATATATATATATATATATAATAAATGGGTTGAGGTCTCAGCTTCCTTTTTCCCAATGGTTTTTAGGATGGGTTGTTTGGGATAGCCAGCAAATTAGATAAGAAAAAAGTTGAAAAATACAGTTTTACAGGGGCAGTTTTACTGCCCCTAAGGGTACCCACTGACCAGACATTCTTAATAAACTTGAGAAATCAAACAACAGTGCCAATTGTACAAACTTTATACAAACTTTTTGTTGTTTGTGTAAAGAAAAAAAAATACAAAAACAAAAAAAAACTTTCATATCAACATATTTCATAAGACAAGTAGATTTGTAAAATTACACTTATATAAAATTAACGAAATACACATAAAAGTAAAACCTGAAAAGACAATAAATTTATATCAAGGCTACATGAGTCAAAGCAAGTCGAGAAGTTAGGAAGTATATACCAATAGTTTAGAAGGTCAAAAAAACCTGTTCCCACCACAATACAGCGTCAAAATATCCACTAATATGTTTGTTTGAAATTCCTTTTAATTTAAATATCTCCTGTAATTAAAAAGTCTTGTCACATAAATGAAACATTGCGCAAATATAAGTTACGTCGTAAACAAAACTGCACTTTCACCAAGGTATAACACATTATAAGACAATACCTGCCAGTAATATATACCCCGACATCAATTACCGTAAATCTTGCAGTCTTTAATTTACTTTTTAAAAGTTTTACATAATATTTTTACGAAAATACTTTCTAAACTCGAAACTATACAAACAACCTTAACATGGTCAACACAAAACTGACAGAACGAGTAATCACTACGTTTTAAAAGTTGACATTGGTCTTATATCCATGAATTAATACATACATGAAAATGAATACATGTTACCTTTTCAATGCAATATAATAATGAACATAAAAAAAAAATATAAATTAATATCCATAGTGTTGTACCACTATTTATATATGTCTCCATCCATAATATCTATATCGACTAAAAACGTAGCTATTTCGTAATATAAAATTTTCAAACTTTACGAAAAAATTGTACAATAAAACAAATACAAGTACTTTATTTTGCTCTACTGTAATTTGAAATCTATTTTTTTAAAATAGCGCCATAACTCTGGCTATCAGGGGGGAGGAGTCCCATTGCTAGCAATATGCTCAACTAGGTCGATCTGCACGTAGTCCCCCTGAAAACTATCGTGCTGAATTCCAGGTGAATCCATCACGATAGACTAACTGGCCTGTCTTTTCATTCTCACATATCATCATTCACTGATGACCCGACAGCGTATACCGTTAGCGCAAGGGAGGTTACCATTCCATTGTCATCCATTAAAAAAATCTGTGTGTGCGCCTGTTTAAGATGATAGAATAGTTTGGTAACATGGAGCATACAAAAATGTTATTTCAACAACGATGTTGCAACTGTCACAGGCCAGCCACAGATTAGAAAGAATAATGTCTAAGAAAACCTTAGATTCAGTAACGTTATACTAGGGGTATGAAAGAAACTAACGATATTGTTATAGATGAAATATTTTCTTCCATAGTAAGTGATATCAATATTTTTATTTTATTTTTTATTTCAATAGGTACACATTACAGAGAATTAACATAGTTACATTAATTTATAAACAACAATTATGTTTTGTTCAAGCTAATCCTCCAAAACTTTGCGTACACGGCATGATCAAAACATAAACACACAGCTAAAGTCTGTAAACACAATATAATTTAAACAACAAAAAATGGATAATCATACTCGTATATATATATATACACATATATATATATATATATATATATATATATATATATATATATATATATATATATATATATATATATATATATATATATATATATACACACAGACACAGACACACACAGACATACAAACACAGACACACACACACACACACAAACACGCGCGCGCGCGCGTACACACATACAGAAACACACATACCACGGTGTACATATTACGTTCATATATATGTTACAACAAAAGAAACTATCTACTAATTACAGAGGAAAATAATACGTAAACGTCGTGACGAAAATTACTGAACTTCTGACCAAATATATCAAGCTTTTCACCATCCTGATGAGCACCACCACGCTGAACATTATTATAAGACCGGCACATTCTTAAAATGGAATTGTTAAATGAAACATTATTCCTAGTGTTTGGCACATCAAAAACACGGGAGTTACGACATTTATTGTTAGTATTAAAGTATAGTAAATTAAGTAGCGAGGGACAGTCAACCATAGAATTAACAATTTTATACAAGTAAATTAATTCAGCCGATTGTCTTCTAGATAATAAATTATCTAATTTAAAGTATTTCATTCGCGAAGCATAGGATTGAAGTTTCCTGACTAAGCCATATCGTCTACAAGTAGTTGCAAGGCACCTTTTCTGTATTCTTTCAATATTTTCTTCATGAATAGCATAATATGGGGACCATATTAAATTACCATACTCAGCAATGGGTCTTATAAGTGTTTTGTATAAGTATAGTAGACTGTGGGGTTTATTAAAATTTTTAGTTGCTCTGTATATGAACCCAAGCAACTGGTTACAACGACTGATGATATAATCATAATGTACACGAAAAGATAATTTTGAATCAAACATTATTCCCAAATCTTTAACCACATCTTTACGCTTAAGTTTTTGCTTGTTCATGCTATACTCAAATATAAATTTTAGAGACCTTGAAGCAAAAGATATTGTGTTACATTTTTTTACGTTCATATACATATTATTGGCACAACACCATTTGTAAATATTATCAAGATCCTTCTGTAACTGCAAACAATCTTTGAAACTATTCACTACGCGATAAACTTTGAGATCATCAGCATAAAACAAGCATTCACTTTTTATAGAGTCTACTAGGTCGTTAATAAACAAAATAAATAATAAGGGACCCAAGTGCGATCCCTGAGGAACTCCTGAGGTTACCATAACAGGAGTAGATTGGAAACCTTTAATAGCAACCATTTGACTTCTATTAGAAATATATGATACGAACCAACGATACAACGAGCCATGAATCCCATATGAAATAATTTTTTTTAACATTAGTTCATGGTTCACCTTATCAAAGGCTTTGGAAAAGTCAGTGTATATTGAATCCACCTGTTGGCGATTATTAAATGCATTACAAATGTAGTTTTTGTAGATAAGTAGATTACTAATAGTTGATCGACCAGAAACAAATCCATGTTGCATAGGTATTATGCGCTGTTTAACATGGTTATACAAATGAATATATATTAAAGATTCGAATAATTTGGGCATACAAGACAGTATATTTATCGGTCGATAGTTTTCACACTTCGTTTTATCGCCCGATTTGAATATAGGTATAATAAAAGCGGTTTTCCAATAAGACGGGAAAGAACCGTAGCGTAGAGATCTATTAAATAAAACTTCCAAAGGCACACTAATTTCTTCAGCACAAGCTTTAATAAAATAGGCTGGTATAGCATCTGGCCCCGCGCCTTTGTTAGAATCTAATTTTCTGATACCCTTAATTATATCCTTAGAGGTTATAGTTAAACTACTCAAGACGGGCGTGTTTATTTGTGGCCGATAATTGACTTCACCAGTAGAAATTTCAAAGACTGATTTAAAATAATCAGAAAATAGTTCACATATACCGGGTATTTCTGTTGCCGTTATATTATTGTAGGTCATAGTTTGAGGGATTGTATTGTTTGATTTTTTACTATTAACATATCGCCAGAAAGTTTTAATGTCGTCTGAAAGATCATCTTCTACTGAATTGACAAACGATTTATAGCACTGATCAATCATCTGTTTACAACGTCGACGAAGTAGATTAAATATTGGTGTTTAACATCATCATTATCATATAAGCCGTTACTTAGCCACTGATGAACATATGTACATGCGAAGTCCATAGACAGGAATAGTCCTAAACCACCTGCATCCACTGACTGCCTGCAATGCATTCGAGGTCCATGCTTTATCGAGTGGGAGATTGTCCTATATTGCGTATGACGGTATAACCGTACTGAATCGCTACTCAAGAATCTTTTTTCCTGTCTGTCGTCGGGTTTTCGAGCTATGTGACTAGAGTCACATAGCTCGAAAACCCGACCACTTAAATTTGCTTATCCTTCGGGCTATGTTTAGAGAATTAAATATAGAGACATACAAACAATCATAGATTAAGCATAGTACTTCCGGTCCTTGTCTAAGAATATTACTATCTGATAACCTATACAAGTCCTTATTCTTAATACCTATGACATTTAATTTTGTCATTGTAACATTATCTCTTTCTTCACACCAATATGAATTTAAAAAAATTTAAAAAAGAATTGGATTTATACGTTTATTCAAATTTAAACATCTACAACAGGTATGCCTCCGAAAAAGAAGAAAAAGCCAACAAAACCACCAGAACGATTTCGCTGTGACGAAATCGAAGGAGAAAGATTTCATGCACAAACTGACGATATCTTCAAATATAACTGGTGGGAAGTGTTCTGCTTTCCTTACATATTATGTGCGAGGTTCTGGAACTGCTGTGTATCATTATGTGCTGGAACAAATCAATGCCTCGTCTACTGGATGATGATACAATGGGTTGTATGTAAAATAACAAGATTAACCACACCGAACGCCATCATCTTTCCCTATTACTTCTATATATTTTGTCAAGTTATTTTGTTAACAGTATTTTTCGTTTTACTTTGGCATTGGTTTGGCAACACTGTTATTATTCCTTATTTTGTAGAGTTCTACCACGCGTTGATAGACGACGAGTTAGAACTTAAAATAAAACCAAACATAAGTCGATTGTCCTTTCGACGATATTGCTTTAGGAAAGGAGAAATATTCGACACTAATCAAATTGATAATTCTGCCAATGTGCTTCATTCTAAATGTCTAGTAACAATGATTGTAGATCTTTTTTTATATAATGTTGTTTATTAAAATATTATGCGTTTCTTTTACGGTGTTTCCATCAATTTATTACAAGTCTCAAGAGACGTGTTCCTTACTAATTTTTGAATTGTATAAAAGTAACGTAACGTAAGTAGTTCTAATATAATATTTTCATTTATTTATTTGTGATATACATTTGTGATAATGACAAATTTAACTTCATTGCAAAAAGGCCAACTGAAATTCATTCTTACATGTCATCCCTCATTGCATTGAGTTTTTACTGGCGTATACTGATGGTGCAAGCGTAGCTACCATTCTATTAAAGAGAAAAGAGATTCTTAGTGAAGGAGACTAACGGCCCCATTCATCATCATCATTATAACAGGCTTTAACTATCTACTGCTGAACATAAGCCTCCCTCTTGGGCGGTTTTGCCAGTAGTTGCTAAGCTTGGCAGGCGAATTGGCAACCGCAATTAGGTTTTAGAGTTGTTTTAAGCTGCTGTCCATCGCTCACCCTCCCTTCGTCAATTTAATACGACACCCACGGTAAAGGAAGGGGTGGCCTATTCTATGCCGGGATCACTTGGCCAATCGACCTCATTGTTAGCAATATATCCTAGGAGGTAGACCTCTACGTGGTTTCCGCTAAAAACCATCATGATTGATTTATCGTTGAATTTGTCACAATGGGCCAACTCATTTAC